TCGAGTTAGAGTCCGAGTTAGAGCTGAGTTAGAGTTAGAGCTGAGTTAGAGTCTGAGTTAGAGTCCAAGTTAGAGTCAAAGTTAGAGTCAGAGTTAGAGTCCGAGTTAGAGTCCGAGTTAGAGTCCGAGTTAGAGTCAAAGTTAGAGTCCGAGTTAGAGTCTGAGTTAGAGCTGAGTTAGAGTCCGAGTTAGAGTCAGAGTTAGAGTCAGAGTTAGAGTCCGAGTTGGAGCTGAGTTAGAGTCTGAGTTAGAGTCTGAGTTAGAGCTGAGTTAGAGTCTGAGTTAGAGTCTGAGTTAGAGCTGAGTTAGAGTCTGAGTTAGAGATGAGTTAGAGTCTGAGTTAGAGTCTGAGTCATAGTCAGAGCTGAGTTAGAGTCTGAGTTAGAGTCCAAGTTAGAGTCAAAGTTAGAGTCCGAGTTAGAGTCCGAGTTAGAGTCTGAGTTAGAGTCTGAGTTAGAGTCCGAGTTAGAGTCCGAGTTAGAGTCCGAGTTGGAGCTGAGTTAGAGTTCGAGTTAGAGTCTGAGTTAGAGCTGAGTTAGAGTCTGAGTTAGAGTCTGAGTTAGAGCTGAGTTTGAGTCCGAGTTAGAGTCTGACTTAGAGTCTGAGTCATAGTCTGAGTCAGAGCTGAGTTAGAGTCTGAGTTAGAGCTGAGTTAGAGTCTGAGTTAGAGCCTGAGTTAGAGTCCGAGTTAGAGTCCGAGTTAGAGTCCGAGTTAGAGTCCGAGTTAGAGTCTGAGTTAGAGTCTGAGTTAGAGTCCGAGTTAGAGTCCGAGTTAGAGTCCGAGTTAGAGTCCGAGTTAGAGTCCGAGTTAGAGTCCGAGTTAGAGTCCGAGTTAGAGTCCGAGTTAGAGTCCGAGTTAGAGTCCGAGTTAGAGTCCGAGTTAGAGTCCGAGTTAGAGTCCGAGTTGGAGCTGAGTTAGAGTCCAAGTTAGAGTCCAAGTTAGAGTCAAAGTTAGAGTCCGAGTTAGAGTCCGAGTTAGAGTCCGAGTTAGAGCTGAGTTAGAGTCCGAGTTAGAGTCAGAGTTAGAGTCCGAGTTGGAGCTGAGTTAGAGTCTGAGTTAGAGTCTGAGTTAGAGCTGAGTTAGAGTCTGAGTTAGAGTCTGAGTTAGAGCTGAGTTAGAGTATGAGTTAGAGCTGAGTTAGAGTCCGAGTTAGAGTCCGAGTTAGAGTTTGACTTAGAGTCTGAGTCATAGTCAGAGCTGAGTTAGAGTCCAAGTTAGAGTCAAAGTTAGAGTCCGAGTTAGAGTCCGAGTTAGAGTCCGAGTTAGAGTCCGAGTTAGAGTCCGAGTTAGAGTCCGAGTTGGAGCTGAGTTAGAGTCTGAGTTAGAGTCTGAGTTAGAGCTGAGTTTGAGTCCGAGTTAGAGTCTGACTTAGAGTCTGAGTCATAGTCTGAGTCAGAGCTGAGTTAGAGTCTGAGTTAGAGCTGAGTTAGAGTCTGAGTTAGAATTAGAGCTGAGTTAGAGTCTGAGTTAGAGTCCAAGTTAGAGTCAAAGTTAGAGTCCGAGTTAGAGTCCGAGTTAGAGTCAAAGTTAGAGTCCGAGTTAGAGTCTGAGTTAGAGTCTGAGTTAGAGCTGAGTTAGAGTCCGAGTTAGAGTCAGAGTTAGAGTCCGAGTTGGAGCTGAGTTAGAGTCTGAGTTAGAGTCTGAGTTAGAGTCTGAGTTAGAGTCTGAGTTAGAGTCTGAGTTAGAGTCTGAGTTAGAGCTGAGTTAGAGTCTGAGTTAGAGCTGAGTTAGAGTCTGAGTTAGAGCTGAGTTAGAGTCCGAGTTAGAGTTTGACTTAGAGTCTGAGTCATAGTCAGAGCTGAGTTAGAGTCTGAGTTAGAGTCCGAGTTAGAGTCCGAGTTAGAGTCCGAGTTAGAGTCTGAGTTAGAGTCCGAGTTGGAGCTGAGTTAGAGTCTGAGTTAGAGTCTGAGTTAGAGCTGAGTTTGAGTCCGAGTTAGAGTCTGACTTAGAGTCTGAGTCATAGTCTGAGTCAGAGCTGAGTTAGAGTCTGAGTTAGAGCTGAGTTAGAGTCTGAGTTAGAATTAGAGCTGAGTTAGAGTCTGAGTTAGAGTCCAAGTTAGAGTCAAAGTTAGAGTCCGAGTTAGAGTCAAAGTTAGAGTCCGAGTTAGAGTCCGAGTTAGAGTCTGAGTTAGAGTCTGAGTTAGAGCTGAGTTAGAGTCCGAGTTAGAGTCGAGTTAGAGTCGAGTTAGAGTCCGAGTTGGAGCTGAGTTAGAGTCTGAGTTAGAGTCTGAGTTAGAGTCTGAGTTAGAGTCTGAGTTAGAGTCTGAGTTAGAGCTGAGTTAGAGTCTGAGTTAGAGCTGAGTTAGAGTCTGAGTTAGAGCTGAGTTAGAGTCCGAGTTAGAGTTTGACTTAGAGTCTGAGTCATAGTCAGAGCTGAGTTAGAGTCCGAGTTAGAGTCCGAGTTAGAGTCCGAGTTAGAGTCCGAGTTAGAGTCCGAGTTAGAGTCCGAGTTAGAGTCTGAGTTAGAGTCTGAGTTAGAGTCCGAGTTGGAGCTGAGTTAGAGTCTGAGTTAGAGTCTGAGTTAGAGTCTGAGTTAGAGCTGAGTTAGAGTCCGAGTTAGAGCTGAGTTAGAGTTAGAGCTGAGTTAGAGTCTGAGTTAGAGCTGAGTTAGAGTTAGAGCTGAGTTAGAGTCTGAGTTAGAGCTGAGTTAGAGTCTGAGTTAGAGCTGATTAGAGTCCGAGTTAGAGTTTGACTTAGAGTCTGAGTCATAGTCAGAGCTGAGTTAGAGTCTGAGTTAGAGTCCGAGTTAGAGTCCGAGTTAGAGTCTGAGTTAGAGTCTGAGTTAGAGTCCGAGTTGGAGCTGAGTTAGAGTCTGAGTTAGAGTCTGAGTTAGAGTCTGAGTTAGAGTCTGAGTTAGAGCTGAGTTAGAGTCCTGAGTTAGAGAGTTAGAGTTAGAGCTGAGTTAGAGTCTGAGTTAGAGTCCAAGTTAGAGTCAAAGTTAGAGTCCGAGTTAGAGCGAGTTGATAGAGTTAGAGTTAGAGCTGAGTTAGAGTCTGAGTTAGAGTCAAGTTAGAGTCAAAGTTAGAGTCCGAGTTAGAGCTGAGTTAGAGTTAGAGCTGAGTAAGAGATTAGAGTCTGAGTTAGAGTCCGAGTTAGAGTCCGAGTTAGAGTCCGAGTTGGAGCGAGTTAGAGTTCGAGTTAGAGTCTGAGTTAGAGTCTGAGTTAGAGTCTGAGTTAGAGTCTGAGTTAGAGTCTGAGTTAGAGTCTGAGTTAGAGCCTGAGTTAGAGCCTGAGTTAGAGTCCTGAGTTAGAGTCCGAGTTTAGAGTCCGAGTTAGAGTCCGAGTTAGAGTCCGAGTTAGAGTCCGAGTTAGAGTCCGAGTTAGAGTCCGAGTTAGAGTCCGAGTTAGATCGGTTAGAGTCCGAGTTAGAGTCCGAGTTAGAGTCCGAGTTAGAGTCCGAGTTAGAGTCCGAGTTAGAGTCGAGTCCGAGTTAGAGTCCGAGTTAGAGTCCGAGTTAGAGTCCGAGTTAGAGTCCGAGTTAGAGTCCGAGTTAGAGTCCGAGTTAGAGTCCGAGTTAGAGTCGAGTTAGAGTCTGAGTTAGAGCTGAGTTAGAGTCTGAGTTAGAGTCTGAGTTAGAGCAGTTAGAGAGTTAGAGTCTGAGTTAGAGTCCGAGTTAGAGTCCGAGTTAGAGTCGAGTTGGAGCTGAGTTAGAGTCGAGTTAGAGTCGAGTTAGAGTCTGAGTTAGAGTCTGAGTTAGAGTCTGAGTTAGAGTCTGAGTTAGAGTCTGAGTTAGAGCTGAGTTTGAGTCCGAGTTAGAGTCTGACTTAGAGTCTGAGTCATAGTCTGAGTCAGAGCTGAGTTAGAGTCTGAGTTAGAGCTGAGTTAGAGTCTGAGTTAGAGCCTGAGTTAGAGCCTGAGTTAGAGTCCGAGTTAGAGTCCGAGTTAGAGTCCGAGTTAGAGTCCGAGTTAGAGTCCGAGTTAGAGTCCGAGTTAGAGTCCGAGTTAGAGTCCGAGTTAGAGTCCGAGTTAGAGTCCGAGTTAGAGTCCGAGTTAGAGTCCGAGTTAGAGTCCGAGTTAGAGTCTGAGTTAGAGTCTGAGTTAGAGCTGAGTTAGAGTCTGAGTTAGAGTCTGAGTTAGAGTCTGAGTTAGAGCTGAGTTAGAGTCTGAGTTAGAGTCTGAGTTAGAGTCTGAGTTAGAGTCTGAGTTAGAGTCTGAGTTAGAGCTGAGTTAGAGTCTTAGTTAGAGCCTGAGTTGGAGTCTGAGTTAGAGTCCGAGTTAGAGTCCGAGTTAGAGTCTGAGTTAGAGTCTGAGTTAGAGTCTGAGTTAGAGTCTGAGTTAGAGCTGAGTTAGAGTCTGAGTTAGAGCTGAGTTAGAGTCCGAGTTAGAGTCTGACTTAGAGTCTGAGTTATGTAGTTTCTTTTATACGGATCAGTCGTCCTGCTTCCTTTGCAGATAAAACAGCCCCAAACCATGATGTTTCCACCCCCATGCTTCACAGTAGGTGTTCTGTGGATCCCCCAAACACGAGCTGACCATGTGTCATTCTCCCAATACCATGTGAAATTATCCCAATACCATGTGTCATTCTCCCAATACCATGTGACAGTCCCCCAATACCATGTGACATTCTCCCAATACCATGTGACATTATCCCAATACCATGTGCAATTCTCCCAAAACCATGTGACATTCTCCCAATACCATGTGACATTCCCCCAATACCATGTGACATTCTCCCAATCCTCTTCTTGATCTTCCAAATGCTCTGTAGCTTCAGACGGACATGTCCTGGTTTAAACAGGGTCTGACACTGCAGGGGGTCCCTCGGGTCTAGTGTGTTACTGATGGTACCTGTGTTACTCTGGTCCCAGCTCTCTGCAGGTCATTCTCTAACGTTAACGTAACTAAACTAAAAGGCAGCAGTCATTATGACTGTTCTATTGAAACAATAAAAGAATGAAGTTTTACTTTCACTTTCACTTTCTTCTGTTCCTGTGTGAATAAGATTTTTATGTTTATGGTGCAAAAGTGAAAGGCTCTGTGTCATCTGTGCACTTACCCTCCCTCAAAGATCTTCACCCTGGGAGGGGTCTGGCCTGGGGTCTGGCCTGGGGTCTGGCCTGGGGTCTGGCCTGGGCTGGGTGCGGTCCCCGTCTTGGGTCTCACGTCCTTGGGCTTCTTCCCGTCGACCTGTGAGTCACCAGGCTCGGGTTTCTGCTGCAGAACACACGTTATCGACAGGACGCAAACAGACCAGAGAGACCAGAGAGACCAGGGACCAGAGAGACCAGAGAGACCAGAGAGGACAGAGAGACCAGGGACCAGAGAGACCAGAAAAACCAGAGAGGACAGAGAGACCAGAGAGACCAGGGACTAGAGAGACCAGAGAAACCAGAGAGGACAGAGAGACCAGAGAGACCAGAGAGACCAGGGACCAGAGAGACCAGGGACCAGAGAGACCAGAGAGACCAGGGACCAGAGAGACCAGAGAGAGCAGAGAGACCAGAGGGAGACCAGAGACCAGAGAGACCAGGGACCAGAGAGACCAGAGAGACCAGGGACCAGAGAGACCAGAGAGAGCAGAGGGAGACCAGAGACCAGAGAGACCAGGGACCAGAGAGACCAGAGAGACCAGGGACCAGAGAGACCAGAGAGACCAGGGACCAGAGAGACCAGGGACCAGAGAGACCAGGGACCAGAGAGACCAGAGAGACCAGAGAGACCAGATAGACCAGTGACCAGAGAGACCAGGAACCCGAGAGACCAGAGAGACCAGGGACCAGAGAGACCAGAGAGACCAGAGACACCAGAGAGACCGGGGACCAGAGAGAACAGGGACCAGAGAGACCAGAGAGAGACCAGAGAGACCAGTGACCAGAGAGACCAGGAACCCGAGAGACCAGAGAGACCAGGGACCAGAGAGACCAGAGACACCAGAGAGACCAGGGACCAGAGAGAACAGGGACCAGAGAGACCAGAGAGAGACCAGAGAGAGACCAGAGAGACCAGAGAGAGACCAGAGAGAGACCAGAGAGACCAGGGACCAGAGAGAGACCAGAGGGACCAGAGAGGTGTGTGTCTTACCTCCTGTGCTCTCCACACCAGCAGAGACGACACCACCTTCCCCGCTCCGGTCTCACTCATCTGGGCGGCGGTGTAGAGAACCTCGCCGCTGCGATGTCTGGAGCGCAGCAGCGCAAGTGCAACGCCGGTGCTGAGCTCCAGCGGGTTGGGGTTCTGCGCGCTCACGCACCACACGCCGTACACAGACTGCAGGGGGCGCCCTTCGCAGCTGCTTGGTTTGGTGAAGTTCAGGAAGCACCAGCTCACGGCCGTCGTGGTGCGCAGACTGGGGAACCGCCGCGCGACCGGCACCTTGTCTCCCGCACGTGCCTGTTCTCCCTCGTCTTCTTTGTCTCCTTTGTCTCCCTCATCTCCTTCGTCTCCCCCTTCTCTCTCGTCGTCCACTTCTCTCTTGTCGTCCCCTTCTCCCTCGTCTCCCCCGCACGCCTCTCTTCCTGCGTGCGCAGCGCTCACGTCCATGGGCTCCTCGCTGCTGTTGCCGAGCTCCACGGCGCTCAGTTCATCTGCAATCTGTCCAAACATGCGCTCCTCCTTCACGCGCTTCTGCTGCTTCACCTCCAGGACCAGGTCCAGGCTGCTGGCCGGGGACAGCATGCGCTTGTTGGCACCGCTGGAGGCGTTGGTGGTGGAGATGGTGCGCGACGTCAGCGACAGAGGGATTCCTGTCTTCAGTTTTGCCGAGGACAAGTCCAGAGCCTCCAGCGTCTGCTCCGTGCTCCGCTGAGGATCCTGAGTGTTTGGGGAAAAGAGGCCGAGGGCCTCGCTGTGATGGTCGAACACCTGCGACACTGTGGTGTAGGTCAGGCTGCTGAGCGCCGGCACGTTGGTCTGGATGCGCACTGGGACCAGCAGACTGGGGTGCGGCAGCTGCGGGAAAACACCCGTGGAGAATATGGGGAAACTGCGCGTCAGAAGGTGCGCCACGGTGGACTCTGTGTTCACAGGCTCCTGCCTCACGAAGCTCCGCTTCTCGTAGTCGAGTCTCAGTCGCGGACTCGGGTCCAGATTGCCGCAGTCGAAGGACACGCTGCGGACCTCGGGCAGCTCTCTGCGCTGGTGACACGGCGCCTGCTCCGACGCTGAGCGCCGCATCTCGTTCTGTTGTCGCTGATGCAGTAACGACAGAGTGCCGCTGTTCGGCACGGACAGCAGCTCCTTCCCACAGTCGTCCTGCGCCCGGCCGCCGTCCTCGCGCTCGCAGGAGAACGAGGAGCTGTAGGTGGAGCTGTAAGACAGGTTGCTGTCCTGGCTCGGGCTGCGGGACAGAGAGGTGCATGCCGACTCGAAGCTGGACTCTCCGGACGAGTGCTCCATCTCCGCCAGGCGGAGCCTCTTCTTCTTTGGGGGCAGTTTCTCTGGAGGGAACTGAGCTAATGTCTCGCTGCGCTGAGGCCACTGGAACTCCTCCACCACCTGCTTCTCTGGTTCTTTGGCGGGGGTTTCCGGAGCCTTCTCTGGACTGTCTGGTTCCACGGTCACCCGGATCTCTGGGACCTGGATGTTGGGTTGGCGGACGAGCTTGGGCCCCATCTGTATAGACTGTCGCAGTTTGCCGTCACCTCTCTCCATCTCGTGGCCGTCGCTGGCCTCCAGAGCGAGATAGTACGGGCTGCTGTGATAGGTCAGTTCCATGTGGCCGCGGCTCAGGGAGTTGGTGTGTTGTATCACGGAGATGACGTTGCCAAGAGTCTTTCTCGTTGATATTTCTGCACTGACAGTTACGTCCATCTCACACACAGATCCTTGGCCCTTGCTCTCGTACCGACCCTGCGACTCTTCCTCCTTCTCCTTGCGGCGTTTGCGCGTGGCGAGCTCCAGCGCCTGTCGGTGGTAGCTGGTGTGCGGCGGTGTGGATGGGTAGTTCTCCATCTCCGTCACTTCGCTGAGTTTCCCGTGAGCTTCGTCTGCATGTGTGTCGTGGGACAGTTCGAAGGCCGCTTGCCTGCGTAGCCTCCGGGCGCCTCCTGAGCTCGTGCGCTCGTCAAAGGAGTGGCTGCCTCTCAGCGCGGGCGCCGTCTGCGCCGCGGTGGTGCACGACGTGGGCATGGAGTTGCTCCTCATCAGCAACAGCCCCAGGTCTGCGTCCGGCTGTAGCTCTTCTTCTCCCATGAAGGTGTTGATCCTAATGGACTCCGCTCCGTCCTTCTCCTGCGTATAAACCCGCGACACGCTTCTCTCCGAGCCCTCGCTCCCAAACCCCTGCTTGGGACTCGGCCTGTAGCACTTCCCAAACATGATTTCTTGATATGACTTAGCGTTAGCGTTGGGCGGGCCCGGCTGGTGCTCCGAGCTCTCCGAGCGAGAGAAGTATCCGGAGTCCGTGCTGCCTTTGCTGGACTGACTCGGGAGTGACAGGTTGTGCTCAGAGTCGCTGCTGCGCTTCTCCGACAGCCGCAGCGCTAACCTCTGCTTGACGGCGCTGGAGGGGAGATGCTCCTGCTGCTCCTGCTGCTCCTGCACGGCCAAAGGAGCCATCGTCGTTCCCCTCTTGTGCGAGATGAGGCTAAGGACTTTGACGGCCGTGTGGGCAGAGCCCGTGGCGTCCAGCAGCAGCAGAGGGTCACTCGGCGCCTCGTCCTCAGAGTCCGAGGTCTGGTCTCCATCTGAGAAGTCTCCTTCGAACGAGCCGTGCTCCGAGCCGGTCCCCGCCACGGCCCCCGCCTTCGCCAGGTGAGCGTGTGACTTGCGGTGTTTGTACAGATTGCTTTTGGTCTTGAAGGAGAAGCCGCAGGGGGCGCAGGGGTACGGGCGCTCCCCCGTGTGCGAGCGGATGTGCTTCTTCAGGACACTGGGCTTCGCGCACGCCCTGCCGCAGTAATCGCACACGTACCTGCCTGGTTTAGGCGGTCTCTGCTCTGGTCTCTGCTCTGTCTCTCTCTGTCTCTGGTCTCTGCTCTGGTCTCTGCTCTGGTCTCTGCTCTGGTCTCTGCTCTGGTCTCTGCTCTGGTCTCTGCTCTGGTCTCTGCTCTGGTCTCTGCTCTGGTCTCTGCTCTGGTCTCTGCTCTGGTCTCTGCTCTGGTCTCTGCTCTGGTCTCTGCTCTGGTCTCTGCTCTGGTCTCTGCTCTGGTCTCTGCTCTGGTCTCTGCTCTGGTCTCTGCTCTGGTCTCTGCTCTGGTTCCAGACCTGGGCTGGGACTCGGGGTTTGGACCTCCTCATCCTTCTTGTCTGTGCTCTGGTTTTCATGGAGATGTCTAGACTTGGACTTTTTGGGAGGTAGATTTCTGCCTGGTACCTCTCTAGCGGTGGTGGCGGTGGCGGCGGTGGTGGCGGTGGCGGCGGTGGCGGCGGTGGCGGCGGTAGGAGCGTGGGTCTCAGGAGAATGCATGGCTCTAAGGTGGCGTTTCGAGGACGGTCTTGTTACGTGACAAAGATGTTGACTCTGGTGTGGACTGACGTCACTGAAGGGTCTGGAAACAAGAGAGAGACCTGAGGATCCAATCACAGCAGAGGACTCTACTCTACTCTACTCTACTTACTTGGTAACCACTAAAGCAGGTCTAAAGCAGGACTAAAGCAGGACTAAAGCAGGACTAAAGCAGGACTAAATCAGGACTAAAGCAGGACTAAAGCAGGACTAAAGCAGGACTAAAGCAGGACTAAATCAGGACTAAAGCAGGACTAAAGCAGGACTAAAGCAGGACTAAAGCAGGTCTAAAGCAGGTCTAAAGCAGGACTAAAGCAGGACTAAAGCAGGTCTAAAGCAGGTCTAAAGCAGGACTAAAGCAGGTCTAAAGCAGGACTAAAGCAGGACTAAAGCAGGTCTAAAGCAGGACTAAAGCAGGTCTAAAGCAGGACTAGAGCAGGCCTAAAGCAGGTCTAAAGCAGGTCTAAAGCAGGACTAAAGCAGGACTAAAGCAGGTTTAAAGCAGGACTAAAGCAGGTTTAAAGCAGGACTAAAGCAGGTTTAAAGCAGGACTAAAGCAGGTTTAAAGCAGGACTAAAGCAGGACTAAAGCAGGTTTAAAGCAGGACTAAAGCAGGTTTAAAGCAGGACTAAAACAGGACTAAAGCAGGACTAAAGCAGGTTTAAAGCAGGTTTAAAGCAGGACTAAAGCAGGTTTAAAGCAGGACTAAAGCAGGTTTAAAGCAGGACTAAAGCAGGTCTAAAGCAGGACTAAAGCAGATCTAAAGCAGGACTAAAGCAGGACTAAAGCAGGTCTAAAGCAGGACTAAAGCAGGTTTAAAGCAGGACTAAAGCAGGTTTAAAGCAGGACTAAAACAGGACTAAAGCAGGACTAAAGCAGGTTTAAAGCAGGTTTAAAGCAGGACTAAAGCAGGTTTAAAGCAGGACTAAAGCAGGTTTAAAGCAGGACTAAAGCAGGACTAAAGCAGGACTAAAGCAGGTTTAAAGCAGGTTTAAAGCAGGACTAAAGCAGGTTT